TTTTAATTTATAAATATTTATTTAACTAAAAATATTAAAATGTCGTGAATATATATAAGAGATAAATAAGACTAACAATTTTTATTTATTAAAAAAAAACTCGATTATATAAATTTTAATTATTAGAGGCAACTACCTGTATCTGGCATTCGCGTATGGCCATGTCCAGGCCCTCCAGAGCAGCGGCAGTCACATCACTCGCCTTGTAGCAGAGCTCCACCTGATCTTTGGTTAGGCCAGGCACCGAGCGGCAAGTGGCGCGTCCATCGGGCAATCCATACAACCTGTAAGTGCAAGAGTCAAGACAGTTTAGCTCTATTCCTAATACACACACTTATGCATATATCAATCATGTCAGTCATATGTGAGCTCACGCTCGCCTTCATCTGCTCAGTTGCCGTGTTGGTCTAGCTGTAATTTGATTATGGCAACCGCAACCGGCAATTAAATCGCAATCGCAATAACCAACCCCAAAAAATGCGAAAGCCCCAACCCAAACGCAAGCCCCAAACTCAATTTCGTAGCCAACACAAATCACAGCCCGAGCTCACACAGACCGCAGCCGAAAGTCGTCATTAACCTTGAGCGCCAAAAAACCGCAGACAAAAAAGGAAAAAAAGAAAAACAAAAATGAATCAAAATAAACGAAATTTAAGTGAATAAAATATAAAAATGCTTGGCAACAAATTTAATTTAATTTCATTTTATTTGTTTATGTGAAATTTAATTTGGCTTTGTGGCAGATTTAATCAACGAGCGCGCAAAGGCAAAGGCAAAGCTCTCGGCTCTCAGCTGGCAGCGCGAATAGATGGACTGACGGACAGTAGCTAAATTAAATTCCAGAGTTGTCATAAATCTTCAGTCAAGACTTTGGTCTATGACTCACGCAACAGAAGCCTGGCCAAGAACCAACTGGCCGAGGCTCGCATTGAACTCATTTAAAGCGCGCCATGGCACTCAAGGTCAGGCGGAGAGGTGTTCTGATCTTGCGCCACAGATACTGACACAGATACAAAGACAGAGGCTGAGACGCAGACCGCGACAGAGGCACACAGACATAGATACAGACACAGATACATAGATAGAAAGACTGAATGCGAGTGCCAGTTGACGTTGAACAACTTCATCGAAAGATCCATCGGCATCGCCATCGCATCGCGTTGATCTGCGACACGCAGAGCGCAGTTGCTGTTGCTGTTGCTATTGCTATAGGCATACCAGGCGTATACGTGATGCGCTCAACGATGGCGTCTTGAATGTAGACTCTTGCGCACGCCACTCAGCTCAACTGCAGGGGGTGGGGTGGGGCGGAGCGGCTGTGGATTAATTGTAGCACGTACCGCATGTAAAAAATACTCAAATGTTGAAACGTGCCATTTTCACACACGTAGCCCAGCGCATCGCTGCAAGCGATCTGAGGATCTGCCATCATTTGGTATGCCATTCACGCAGCTGAGCACAGCAGAGCCTGTGCTCCACTTGCTTCCCGCTTAATGCATTTGACGTTGTCAGCTCTGCAGCTGCAAATGCAGATGGAGAGCGCGCTCTTGCAACACAGCTTAGCCATGTTAATGAGGTGCAAGCCTTGCGTGGGCACATATGAATAAAATACCATCACTTAATCCTCTGCTCTTTGTATTATTATTATTATTAGTTTTGCTGTAAACTATTTTTGTCTAGAGTACATGAAGAACTCGTTACGATATGCAAAATTGACTACAGAAAATATTTAATAATAAAAT